TAACCTGTTGAACTGCAGATAGATATTTATGAAGTCATTGGGAGGTGAACTGCTTCAATTACCTTTGGTAAATTAAATAACCAAACAATCTTTCATTTTCTGATATAGCTGTAAAACTAATCTGAAAAGTTTTCAAAATAAATCACATTAAAAATGTATAGTGTGTACCTTCTAAAAATGAAACCTACATCTGTCTCTGAGTTGTGAAGAATATGTATTAAGGCTATAACAACCAACAAAAATGCACTTTTATGTAGAAATCCATGATTAAACAGAGTCTTCCTGACTAGTGATTTAAATCAAATCCACCCTACTGCTTTCATTTATTTAGGTAATTTATTTAAACTACAATACAATAGATGGAGAATGGGTGTGAGGAGCATTGGAGGAAACAGTAATGTAGCTAGGTTTGACCCTTTATTTCTAGTTATTAGTCAACAAATACATGCAGCCATCTGCTCAGTGTTGCTCATAGGCAACTGAAGAGCAAGTGGCAGCTGGGAGATCAAACTCCCAATTTATATTGGCTACTGACCAGCACCAGAAAGATGAATAGCAAACAGTTTATGGAGCGCATTTTTTTTCAGTCCAAAAATGTAGACCAGTTCTAATTGCTAAAGCACTGTAAGCATTTATAAGGCTGTACTCTCCTTTACACCACTGTGGCAATGTAAAGAAGCCTTAAAACTTTTACATCAGTTTTATACTCGAGGGAATTCACAAAAGCAATGGGAACAATTCACTAAGCAGGCAGGCTGCTACATTCTGCTCTGCCTGAGGGACAGAGCCTGCCGCATGCCTACCTCCTCAGAAATACCCCGAAGCCTTGCCCATCTACGCTAAGTGTGGCGCAATAAATGAGAGGGACAGTGTTTCTCTCTCTCTCTCACACGTACAACTGCCCAATCCCCCTCCACTGGTGGTGGTGATTTGATTCTACTGGCTGTTCCGGGCGCCCAAACCGCTCTGCCTGTGCTGCTGGGGAGGGGCATGTGACCGCTCTTGCAGCTTCCCTGTCAGAAGTCATTTTTCTGCAGGAAAGCAAAGAAATTTGCAGGGGACATGAATTCTGCATGCACACTGTGATGCAAAATTCCCCCAAGAGCACTGTACTCAAAACTGTATAAGACGCACAAAGAGGCAGCCCTGTTGGGAGAAGCCTGCAATCGATATAGGTAAGACAATACAAATCAGATACAAAATGCACTGCGAAGGGTAGTGTTGTCCAGATGATAGGGCACTGGACTGGGAGCCAGGAGAGCTGGGTTTCTGAATCTGCCACTGATGTACTGTATTACATAGGGCAAGTCACTTCACTGGTTTCCCCTCCCATGCTTTCTTTGTCTTGCCTAGGTGTAAGCTCTTTAGAGCTGGGTCTGTCTTTGATTATAAACACATACAGTGCCTAGCACAAAGGAACCACCAATAAATAATAGCAGTAGTAAAGTGAGACCCAAATGATGGGCCTATCTTAAAGTGTAGGGGGGTGTGAGATTAATTTGTCTTTTAATGGGTAGGATGATCAAACTGATATTGACCTGGGTCAGCACTGGAAGGATTTATTTCAAACAAAATGAGAAGTTTAAAAAAAATTCAGTGTAGACTGAAAGATGTCATATTTATATTTTGTGACCCTTTTCACTATGATTTAATGTATGGGGTTAATTAAACTTGCCTGTACTTAATCCGCATGGTAACTCACACAGTAATTAGTTCAGCAGGAACAGACAAGATTCTACAGTTCTTCAAAAACTCAGGGCCAATTGCTACAAGAATCAACTGCTGCATATTTCCCTACATTCTCTAACAATATTTCACCATCTGTAAAGAGCCCCTTGGGCTTTTTGTGTTTCCACCACTTGAAAACCTTTATTGAGGATGGGTGAGGCTAACCCCTCCCACAGCACAGCAGTCTTTGTAAAATGGAGCTAAGTTTTCTGGAGAACCTGTCCTGTAATTACAAATATATGCATTAGCATCCTGCGTAGTGGTCCCCGATGATACCATCGCTAAGGGTCATGTAGTGTGTCATCCAGCTCATCACAGGCTATTCTTCCAGCCGTCCAGGTCATTGTGCTGAACACAAGGGACTATTTTAAAGGAAGCATTACTATGATTTTACATAACATATGCTAGCTCAAAACTATGGTAAAAGCTTTTAGAGTGTGTATCCTGTCTTGAGACTGTGCCATTCAAATTAAAGAGAAGAGCTTTCTAAAAATAGGAAGCTTCCTGGGATACCCCTTGTATTGTTTGTAAACATATGTAATGGGCTGGGGGTGCCATAGTGCTTTGTACTTTAAAAATACATAGTTAAGATTATATAGACTAGATTAAGTGAGACAGGCAGACAGAGTCTTACCACCAAATAAGAATATTTTGCTCTACTTTTACACTATTCCCTCAACAGAATACGTATTTATAAAAGGTACTTTTAAATTTAAAAAATGCTCTTCAGATAAAACTTTTCATCCCCAAGACCTGTATGGAGGCTAACACAAGGTTCAGGAGAAAAAAGCTTTTCTTAAATATCAGATGAACTCAGTGGAGAGATTCCCATTGACTTCATAGGGCTTTGGATCAGTCCTACAGGGAGTATATAGGGCCCATGCCCCCAGCACTAACGCAGCTAGGGTTCAGGCCATCATGCCCAACCTGTGACATCAGGACCAGCTGTAGTCCATGAGACCTAAGCAGTGGCCCTAGAGGATGACTGCATTCAGAACAAGGGGTTAGCTGAATTAAGAGTGGGAAGTGTGCTTCCTGAACTGAGCATGGCGATTTTTAAACTGAAGTGTTCAAATCAAATTGCTGTGGCACAGCACTGCCACCTTTTTTGGCTTCCCTGCTGCCACAGGAGCAGCTCTGGCGTGAGCCAGGAATACTCTGAGCAGCTGCTGTCCCTACCTGCTGCAGATGCTCAGTTCAAGGAGCTTCTGCTAACAGTCTGATGCCTTTTAGGGAGGGGAAGGAGGAAACAGCATCTGTATCTGATCCACTGCCCATTTCCCTGCCAGGCTGTGGAAACTGTAGGAAGAGCAGGATAGGAGCTCAACTGGCTCTGAAAACTTATAAAGTATTGACTGTGGCTCTTTGGCCCTTTTGAAATAACTCATTAGGCCTCCAGGCTGAGAAGGCTGGACAGGAACAGAAGTAGAAAAAATTAGACAGGGAGCTTAATGTCAAGAGATTCCAGGACCAAATCCTGTACCAAACTCACTCAATACAGTGAGTTAGCAAGCAGCAAGCCTTGTGTGGAACTACAGCACTCTACCTTGCCCCACATCAATTTGCTGTGTAGACAAGCCCTTAGACTACTGGGTTCTTGAAGAGCTTCTGTCTCTGGGGAAGATTCTGTCTTCCTTCCCTTTCCCCTGACCTCTTCTGCTAAGCATCGTCAAGCTGATCTTTGATGACATTTTGATCACTTCTGTCACATACGCGGTCTTGGCATCATCTCTCCTGATGTCAGGAAACAGGGTTGCTCTTCAGACCAGACAAGGGATGCCAGGAACTACACCAAAGCAAAGAGCCTCCTGAAAGCTATCATAGCTACTCTGCTCCGAGGTCCTTATTTTCACCAGCACCACGGGGTCTCCTGTTGGAGGTGCATTTTTCAAACAGCACTCACTTCAATATACTGAGAAGAGCAAGCCCAGCTGCACCAAGCTCATTGCAATTTCTATGGCACTTGCAATGCTTCCCACATTTTGCCATCTTCAGTGCGCGCATTTTTCCTTTTGAAAACTGATGGCTGGAAACTGCATCCACGCTCCTGCCGATGGCTGCTGTGACTGCGCCTGCAATTTAGCCCCAATTTAAAAACTTGATAATAGTTCAACCAAAGGATAAAAACTAAGGATAATATATTCTTACCTTGATACATACAATGCTGGAGCATCAAAATTATTTATATGATGCTGCTCCACAAAAAGAGCCATCAGAAATTAGACCAAAACAAAAGTTATTTCTGTGTTGTTATATACTTAGCAATTAACAAGCCTTGATTCTCCACTGCTTTGCAGCCTGTGAAATCACTCACACCTGTGCTACGTGTCAAATGCTCCTGCCTACTTTCTCTGTAAATGGAAAATTCAGATTTAGTAGCATTTTGCCCTCTCTTTATGCAGGTATCAATAATTATTAGTGTTTACTGTAGCAAGATGGGGGTCCCCATTACACCGGATACTGCCAGTGCTTAATCTGTAGTGAAAGAGGTGCTGGGGCTCAAGCAATTTTTTTTTTTTACTTTAGTAACTGACACGACAAGCTCAAATTAAGCACTGATCACTGCCCTGAAGAGTTTTCAATTTAACCAGACCAGAGCCGCATGGGAAACAGAGGCCCGGACAGCTCAGTGATTTCCCCACGGTCACAAGGCCAGGCATTAGAAGCCATGTCTCCTGACTCCCATTCCTGTGTGGGGCTCCCCCCTGTAAGTGATAACACAAAGTCCACATCTTCCCATTCCCTTGCAGCCCTTAATTAAAAACCGCACAACAACGCTGCGAGCCAGGGCTGACTTATCACCCCCATTTTACAGCGAAGGGCACAGCCCCAAACAGGTCACGCAGGGATCTGAACGGAGCTGGCCAGGGAGTGTGTGTTTCCCCGTAGCCCAGGGCTCCTCCTTACTGCAGCGCAGGTCTCTCTCCGGCAGTGTGTTTCCTGCAGCCCCGGGGCCACCTGGTTCCAGCGCTAGCTCCCTCTACCTTTGTAAAAAAGGCCAGACTCCCCCGGCTCAGACCCCCTCACCCAGGTCTCGACAAAGCCCCTCCGGCCAGGCGGCCCCTTCCCGCCAAAGGCCGAACGCGGGCCCAGGCTCAGGGCAAACCTTTGCCTCGAACTCAGCCTCGCCCCCGGCAGCCCTCAGCGACTGACCTCGAGCGCGGCTTAGCCACCTTGGGACCGGGCCCGCCCCTGCGCACACGGGATTGGTCCCGGCGCCCCGCTCAGCCGCTGGCGCCCCGCCGGGGTTCGCTCCGCGGGCCGTCACTCACGCAGGTGTGGGCCAGGCCCAGGCCCCCAGGTGCAGGCGGTGCCCGGCCCCCGTGGGACTTGGTGCTTCCCGCAGGCTGGGGCCGGCCGCTGGGCGGGGCAGGAGCCTGGCAGGGCCCGGAGCGACGGGGACGGAGCCGGTCCCCTAGCCCAGCCCAGCCCGTGCGCGGCGATGGCTGGTGCCCCGCGCGAGCTCGATCTCACCTTCCTCAGCGAGCAGGAAGCCCGGCAGATTTTCCAGGTGCTGGAGCGGGACGCGGAGCTGAAAAGGGCCGAGCGGGACCGGATCAGGTAGGAGGCGTCGCTCCTGATCCTGGCGGGCTGCTCCCTACCCCCCTACCCCGGGTGGTCCGGGTTCCCGTCCCGCCTCCCCGGCGAGCGAGGCTGGGCTGCGTTGAGTGTGTCAGACCCTCGTGCCCGCAACGAGCGGCCCTGGCTCTCCCAGGCTGGGGGCACGGCGGGCGTGTGGGTGGCCGCCATGGGCTGGGGGGGGGGGGGCAGTGCAGCTTGTTAGGCCGTATTTGTTTGTGTGCGTGTCGGCAGGGGGAGGCGGCAGCTCCCCAAGTCTCCCCGCAAAGCGGACAGGTTACTGGGAGCCAGATGCTCCTGCCCCATGCGGGAGGATTTAGCAGCAGCTCTGGAGACACAGCAACGGGCTGGGTAAGAAGCGTGTGTGTCTGTGGTGAGTGGGGCACCGAGGGCTCAGCCGGGTCCCCCTCTTCCTCCCCCTCTCCCAACAGGGGAGGCCGTTCTGTCTCTTAACCTGCCAGGGACACAGGGTGTTGGCTGAAGGTTGATTCCTGGTGGAGCAGCGGGGATGGCATGAATACTTTAGAAGAGCTGTAAGGAAATGAGCCATGACAGCTGTGACAGTCTCAGGCACATTCCAGATTGACTTTTGGCACCTCTCCAAAACCAAAGTACAGGCCTCCACTGACTGAAACAGATAATAAGGTGACTCACCACTAGCTCACCCGTTTGATTTCATCCCAGGTCAGTGATGGCTGGGAGTGACCTAGGTGGGTGGCCTCAGTCCAGTTCCTAATGGACAGGTGTATACATCCTATAACCACCAACACTGGTTACTTGTTGCCAGTCCAAGCAGTGGCCAAGCACTGAACAGAAATAGCCGGTGATCCTTAGAGGTACGGTGCGTCCAGGTCAGATTTGAGGTGCTGGTGCTGCACCTGTTCTCCAGGGCTCTCCCTCTGGCATCTTTTATGAGCATGACATTCACTTAAACTTTAAAAGGAAGGCAAAGGTCATCTGAAATGAAGCACCTCAGCAGACTGGACTTGCCTGACATATTGCAGGGGGCTTGGTTAAGCACATGGGAGTAAATTCAGGACCGACTTATAGCGTGTGTAACCCCAGTGAAATCCAAGGTTTTCCTCTGAATGGGAGCTCCTACTGAATCCATTGTTTCCAGTTAGCGTTTGCCTTTCTTCAATCATTAGCTAGTTTCTGCAAAAAGAACAGAAGTACTTGTGGCACCTTAGAGACTAACGAATTTATTAGAGCATAAGCTTTCGTGGGCTACAGCCCACTTATGTTCCATTCTATGCATCCGATGAAGTGGGCTGTAGCCCACAAAAGCTTATGCTCAAATAAATTCATTAGTCTCTAAGGTGCCACAAGTACTCCTGTTCTTTTTGCAGATACAGACTAACATGGCTGCTACTCTGAAACCTAGCTAGTTTGTGTGATTTTCCCTATTATGATAAGATAGGGAGGGGAAGATTGGCCAGGCATGACTGTTTGCAAGGCTGGAAACGTTGTGGGTAGAAATGTTGGCCAAGATTTTTGAAAATGGGCACCTAAAGTGAGGCTCTAAGTCCACAATTAGGCATATAAATAAGCTTTTCAAAAGGGCTGAGTACGCCTATTGAATTCAATAGACTTATACCTGCCACCAAGTCTGAATTTGGTCCTACATCTCTATATATATGGTTCTGTTTTTCTCTTTATGCAAAGGCTAGTCAAGTAAGCTTAATACATAATGGGGTATTTCTACTGATAGATTGTTGAGCTAGAGGTCTACTTTTAAATTTCAATTAAGTTAGCCTTAGAATGTAAGCTGAGCAGAAGAGTGGAAATAGCCTCTTGTGGTTAAGGCACTGGACAGGGATCTGGGTTAAATTACTGGCTCAACCAGAGTCTCTGTGTGACCTTGGGCAAGTCACTTAATCTATCTGTGCCTCAGTTTCCGGCCTGAAAAATAATAAATCTTCACTTTTCACTCCCTGGAAGTGACCAGCATGTCCCTGCTGCTCCTAGGCAGAGGGGCCAGGGGGCTCTGCACGCTGCCCCTGCCTGCAGACACCACCCCGCAGCTCCCATTGGCTGCAGTTACCAGCCAATGGGAGCTGGAGAGCCAGCACCTGGCCTTCCTTCCCCCTAGTAGCTGCAGGGACATGCTTCTGGGGAGCTGCGCGGAGCTGGGTAAGAAGCCTGCCAACCCTGCCAAGCCTCCCACACGCTCCCCCCAGCACGGGTCCTGGGCCATGCGCTGCTGCATGCCGCCTCCCAAACACCCACAGTGTCCCCGGACTGTCCTCCCCCAAGCATCTGTGGCCCCCTGGACCAAGTTTTAATTAGGGGTATATAGTACAAGTCATGGGCTGTGAATTTTTGTTTAGTGCCTGTGATCTGTCCATGACTTTTACTAAAAATACCAGTGCAGGGGGCCATGGAGCCCATTTAGATTGTTTCCCTGTAATGGGGTTTGTGAGGTAGAACTGTGCAGGTCTGAGGTATCCACCTAACTAAACAGATCCACTGACCCTTTTGTAGGAGTCTGTTGAATGCAAGCTTCTCAAGGCAGGGAGCTGTTTGTGATACCCTTCATGTGATTATACAGTGCCACACACACTGAAAGTGCTATAGAAATAATAAATAACAAAAATTATTTAATTATGTCTGTTTCTAACAAATGTTTGTGCCCGTGAAAAGACTGTCTTCATTGGGATAAAAATATCATATCAGTTAGTGCACAGAAAACTGGGGTGTAAATCTGCAGTGCACTAGTTTGCCGTGCACTAACTGGCCATGTGGATTCTGCTACCATGCACTGAAAGTTCCCTAGTACAGTTTGAAATACTCCTGAATGGGATCAGATTCTAGCCCCCTCGGGGCCGCACCCTAGAGTGCCGTCAGGTAAGGGATGGCATTATCTGGTGTCAGCAACACCATAGAATGGAGCTAGGGGAAGGAGAAGTGGGGCTGTTACCTTCTCCATTGAATGGCTAGAGCAGGTCTGAAGTCAGGCCAGGCACACCCACAGGCTGCCTTTCCAGTCATCTCTGGAGGTGAAGAAGATTTGCTTCAAATTGTCTGAGCACAGGCTCTGCCTCAGTACAGATAACAACCTCCACCAGTGGAGTGGCACCAGGGGCCTAAGTGGAGAAAGCTAAGGCAGAGGGAGTGAGGAGATGGCCAGTGAGTCCTTTAAAAGAAGCAGGTCTGTAACCTGGCAAGGTGGGAGCAGGCTCCCTGTTCATTATCACAAGGACCAGGGAAAAAAAGCTTGGAAGTACAGCAGAGGACCCATGGGCAGGTATTGAATTTATTTACTAGGAAGAGCCCCAAATTGTTTAGGTAGTTGATCTTATTTGGGAGCTTATATAGACCCAATTACTACAGTATCTGAGCACCTCACAGCCTTTACGTTTTTATCACCACGACATCCCAGTGAGGTAGGGAAGTACTATTATCCCCATTTTACAGGTGGGGAACTGAGGCACAAAGATAAGGCTCAGCTCCACAGAGGTACTTAGGTATGTAAGCCCCAGAGATAAACATAAGTCCCAGTTTTGGCTCCACTGGGATCCACAAAACTTCAGCCAAATCCGGTCACTAAACTCCTAAACTCACACAGAGTTTTCAGGGTAAAAGTTCCCCAGCTGCCCCCTTCTGAGCACATGTGTAACCCACACACCTTCTGGGTGTGGTGTCGTGTCCCATCTAGTGGAACCGAGACCACTTAGAGCAGGGTGGGCAACATTGTGGCCCGAAGGCCACATCTGGGTATGGAAATTGTATGGTGGGCCATGAACGCTCACGAAATTGGGGTTGGAGTGCCGGGAGATGTAGCTCAAGGGCGGGATCCAGGTGGGGCTTACCTCAAGCAGCTCCCAGAAGCAGTGGCATGTCCCCCCTCTGTTTCCTACGCAGAGGCGCTGTTCCATCTGCAGGCACCACTTCTGCAGCTCCCATTGGCTGCGGTTCCCGTCCAATGGGAGCTGTGGGGGCAGCGCTTGGGCTAGCGTGCCAAGCAGAGCCCCCTGACTGCCCACGTGCATAGGAGCCGGAGGTAGGGACAAGCCGCTGCTTTCGGGAGCCGCGCAAAGCAGCCTCCGACCCCACTCCCCGGCTGGAGCTCAAGGGCTGGATTAAAATGGTTTGCGGGCCAGATGCAGCCCATGGGCTGTGGTTTGCCCACCCCTGATCTAGAGAGAGAGATTAATGAGTTTGCTCTACAGACTTAGCTAACTGCCAGTTGGCTTTTAGCTCATGCGGTAGAGGTTCATGCACTAAGCTCCAGAGGTCCCCTGTTCGATCCTGCCCACTGATGACCAGGGTCAGCATTACACATGTACTACTGCCTTCCACCTAAGCTGCAGAGCGATCCATGAGCTAGGGAAGCAAGTCATTTGGCTGTCTAAATTGCCTACAGGCCTGTGACAGGTTTCAATCGGTCCTCCAAGCCCCTAGGGGGCGATGGAGAGCTATGGTCCCACTGGCAGGCCTTAGTCACACCTTTCGGGCACTGGGGAATTAGTGGGAAAGGTGCGCCGGCCCGAGTCTGCAGCGCGCGGCCCCCCCGGGCAGGGGGGAGCGCCGGCCCGAGTCTGCAGCGCGCGGCCCCCCCCCTCCCCCCAGGCAGGGGGGAGCGCCGGCCCGAGTCTGCAGCGCCCCCCGGGCAGGGAGGAGCGCCGGCCCAGGGCCCTGACAGTGGCGGGAGCCAAAGGTCCCGCCGCTCGGTCAGCGGGGGGCCACCCATACCCGTTGACCAAACACACCCACTCCATGGTGCAGTCCTGCCCCTGGGCTACCTCCTACCCGGTCTCTCAAGCGGGTCTCTCCGGTCCCTCCAGCTGGTCTGGGTATTCTGCTGGTGGCTGCTCCAGCTCCCCCTCTGTGTCGGACTCACGCTGGCCTGGGCTACAGCCAGGCCCCTCCGGATACTCAGCGGCTGGCAGTCCTGGTCGCCACAGGCCTTCCTCCTGCTCAGCTTCCTCCTAGGTCGGCAGCAGGATCGTGAGGGAACAGCCTGTGTCTGTCTCCCACCC